CCTTGCAATGATGAACTATGTGGCCAACAGTCAATGACGGTCGCTGTACCCGAATGGTCACTCCGGCGCTCTTTGGCAAATCTTGCCAACCCAGTGGTAGTGCTGAATGTGGAGATAGCTCAGTATGGTCACTATGAACATGCCCTTCTTGTGGAACTCTTGAAGTCACAGCATTGGATATCCCTAGGGGGGCTATCCGGCTCATCGTGCCATGGCAAAATGCATTTTGCATTGTGGAAGAAACGCTCTGGGCCCGGAAGCATCATGGGGTAGCTCAGAGACTTAAGCCAAAACATTCTACCTCATCCACTCTTTTTTGGGGTGTTTACCTTCAGAAGTAACAGCCCAGTGCCAGAAGTAACCCTGCCAAGCAACCGCACAGCCCACATCCTCAATGTACCCTGTGAGGTTCAAAACGATGCACGGTTTCCCCTTCATGTTCTCGCCATTGATGGTCAGCATGCTTTGCAGTAGCGCCTCCCACCTCCGTGTGCCTTTCTGTGCTTGGCACGCTTCGTGGCTGGGCCGTTGCCGCTCAGCCTGCTTCAAGTCAGACTCAGTGTCCAAGCTTTCGGGCAGGATCATGTCCTTGGATAGTGGCAACAGGATGTCATCATCAAATTGAAGTGGCCGGCCACATAGACCCAGCTCAGAGCTGGTGGTGAAGACATTCTCAGCCATGCTGTCGACATTGCATACCAATCGGCCCAGATTGAACCTCCTGAGGGCAAACGTGTTGGCCAATGTTGGGAACCCCATACTTTGAAGAAAACAATGTTTGGAACCCCAATGCGTTTCCTTCGGTACCTGGTTGAATTTGGACACCAGCTGCTATACCAACTTGAGGATTTAGTTGGTGTATGTGTCACAACATGTTAGTCAGTATGGTAAGTTGTGGAAGACTGGAACTTGTTTAAAGCAATCAGTTCAATTAAACTCCAAAGTGGCATCAGTATAAGACGTTGATACCCGGCCTGCGATTTGTCTGTGCCTCCGCCGTCGGGTGGACGTTGAAAGGACACACCCACCGGCTGTCGCAGCTTTGGCGAAGGGACCATAGGCAAGTTTGAAGCTCAGCTTCCTCATCTGCCAACCCTCTCTTGGATGATTTTTTTTGCCACTTCTGGCAGTTCCATAAGTCCTGCTGACTTGTTGGGCGACAGGTCGTTTGCGAACTGCAAACATGAGCAAAGCTCTGACAGGGTTTCGCTGCTCTTGGCACCAGGCACATTGAGGTCAACAATGCAAATGCAGTAAAGGTCTTGATCAGCTGTGCATCCACAAGATTGGGCCTCCGAGAGCAATGAACACCCCTGAATTAGGATACTTGGGATAGAATGATTGGCATCAGTATCAGGGCTAACAGAACTTTTTGATCTTGTGGTCACAGCTGGGAGTAGAGAATGAAGGCAGAACAGAAGGTCTAAGTCTAAGTTGTTTTAGTGTCTTGACTCTTCTCAGTTCCAAGCAAAAAGTGAAAGAATATCAAAGTTGAGATAAATTTAAACCAGACTCCACGAAGGAGCGGAACTCATTGATCTTCTGCTGGGCCAGCTCAGGCTTGCCAACCAAATCGCAGCGGAGATATTTATCCATGTAGGACTTGATGACCTTTTCTCCAACCTTCGATTGCTCGAGACGCCATGCCACTTGCTTCCGGTGTTTCAATGCTTCCAGCTTCTTAGGAGCTTCCTGGGTCAACTGAAGTTTTTCTTGGTCACGAAGCAGTGCACTTTTGAAGAAATTCCATCGAGCTTCCCTCACTGCCAAGCGTTCCTTCTCAACCTCCATACTGGCCCCCCTCTTCTTGGGCCCTGATGGCATCAAGTGCTTCTTTTTGAGCTGATGGTAGCATAGAAACACCGAATTGTGATGGCCGGCCATCAATCACTGCCTGCAACTCGTGATCCTTCGAGTTTCCCGTGCACAGTGCTTTCTGCAGCTCAGTGAAGTTCTTGATGCGGGTGGCACAGAAAGATCTAATCTGGGACCAGACACATAGTAGGTTCCTGAGGGCTAGAAGGTCTTCTTCCGACATTCGGTATTTTTTTCGATCTGCCGGCTGATCAATGATTGCCGTCGCCCTTTCAAAGGTCAACCGGATCCTGGTGAACAGAATTCCTTGTGTAAAGGCGTCGAGTGGGAGAGCCCAATTGATGGTCATGGTAGCCTCATGACTAGCTGGTGCCAACTCCGATGTTGTCATAGGGCTCAAACCCACTGTAGAGTCCAAGAACAAGAACTTCATGACACTGAGCTGCTCACCAAACGGTCCGAATTGGAATGGCCCGTCCCGCAAAGCGATTTGAACTTGCTCATGCGCTGCAGTTCCACATAGCTCAAGCCAATGCTTGATAGCGTACTGCTTCTTGGAATCCAACACCAGGGATCCTGCACCAGATTTGTCCTGGAAGAGCATCAGACATTGACATACATTTTGGTTGGGGTCATGCGCGATTCATGGGAATGATCGATGTTGATTAAAAAACCAAGAGGTTGTTCCACCGATTCAGTATTTTGTTGTTTTGAAATCAATGGCAATTAGTCTGAATGACCATTGTTTCTAGTGTACTATGCATCCCATGACCATTGGAATTGGCATTCAACTGTTGTGTTTTGATCACCCACCGATCCTTGCCAGAGCCATGTGCAGCGACCTCTGGATTGGAGTTGTACAAGTCGATGGCATCGCTCACCGTCAGTGCCTTGCCTTTAGGCTTTCCCTCAGCCAAGTTCCTCAAAATCATGGACCATTCATAGGAAGAAACTGCCTGCTTTTTGGAGTCCACGTTCTGTTTGATGATGCGGCGAATCATTCCCATGTTCTCATCAGCTGAAAGGTCTCGGTGAAAGGTTGGAATGGCAAGAAGGGATCTTGCCAGATCCGCCATAGCTGGATGTGAAAGATCTTCATCCTTCATGGTAGTGCCATGGTACAAAAGGCTGCACCAGATCAAGGCACATGCGAGGCCCCTCATACCTCCGTCATCGAAGTACAAAGTGTTCTGCAGAGAAGCATCCTGGAGATCTGTTGTCCCATCAGGTGGCATCCGCATACCCAAGATCTCACCCTGAGTGGCTGGGCGTGGTTCGTGCATGGGGTGTTTGGGTTTGGCACCCAAGGGATCTTGTCAGCTTATTTTGTCGCAAGGTGTCTTTCATCGGCCAACACTTACAAGACTACCATCCCTCAAATCAGAGGTTTTCAAACCCAAACACATTCTTCTTCTGAGTTGGTGCCAATCCATAAAAAACCTGGGGTTGACGGCTTGGGTCTGGGCGGCGAGCTATTTGTCTGGGTTTGGGCGGCGAGCTATTTGTCTGGGTTTGGGCGGCGAGCTATTGGGTTGGACCTGGGCGGCGAGCTCTTCCTGGAAGAGCTCTCCACCTCTCCACTAAACTTTGGAAAAAAGCAAACCAGGGCGGCGAGCTCTTCCTGGAAGAGCTCTCCACCCAGGCTCTCGGGGGACTTTGGTCAGATTTGGCCAATTCCAGTGGTATGTATTCCCCTTATTCATTCCTTATCATTCCCAATCATTCCCCCTTCAAAGCCAGAGCCAGCTCTCCCCTGGGTAGATTGGCCCTAGTAGTCCTAAGTATTGGGGCGGCGAGCTCTTCCTGGAAGAGCTCTCCACCCAGGGTCGGTTTTGAAATCCTCAAAGCGGCGAGCTCTTTAAGGAATCTAATAATAAAATCTCAATATTTTCTCCATCCCTTCAACTAAGTCTATTTTCCAGTTCTGGGGCTCCAGTTGCCTTTAGTTTGAATTTAGCTGAACCCCCTGCTGCCCCCCACCACAACCAGTTTTTTCTCTTTGTTTCCCGTAATCATCAATTTGTCCAAGATGCCTCGCGCCAACCCACAAGGGCGATGCTCTTCGCTATGTCCATGACTGTCGCCATATCTGGCAACCGCCAGAAGCTGTCGTTGGCGAAGCTCCACTGCAAAATGCTCGTGTTGAAGAAGCCTCCTCGGCTGAAGTCCTGAAAGGTTAGAGTCACAGATTGCATTCTATTGGTCGTTGGTTGGAACTACCCAGCTGAAACCGCTAAGTGTTCTATTCCGCTAAGTGGAATTGAGCTGAAGCATGTCATATTGTCTTGCAGATCACATGGTGGGTGGAAGGAACAATTAATTTTTGGGTACACCACCGCGAAGTGACACCTTTTGAAACATGTTGAAACCCAAATTTAGAGCCAACTGGTCCTGGGGAGAAAGATATTTGGCAGCAAAGTCTTCCTCGGTGGTAGAGCTATCAACAATCCCGAGCCTCTTCACAAGGGTGAGGCTGTCGCTCAGCAATGCCTCTTCATCACACCAGCACCTCTGGACCACGTCTAAAAAGGATCCCCCTTCTAGTAGTGGCCATTTCCTCTTCTCTGGATAGCCGTGGCGGCCTTGATAAAGAAGGGTCACCCACTCCTTGAGTTGGATCCGCCCCGCCGACACTTCAGAGATGGTTTGAGGCTGGACGCCTTTGAAGTTCGAGGCTGCGATCTTTTGCTTCTTTTTGGGTGGCATGGCTTCCTAGTACCGACTGCAACCGGTTTGAGATCGTGCCCAGAACTGCGCAGTAGCAAAACACATCTGTCACATCTAGCATGGTCCAGGAACCTAGCTGTGAAAAAACTGCAGCTTGAAATGCTAGAGACATGCTTTAGCCAAAAAAAATATCATCCGCACTGTGCGCACTGAAGCATCTTGTTTACAAACTCCTTGAACACCACATCTTTCAAAACACCGTTCAAATACTACGTACATTCCAACAAACAGAATGAAGAAGAAGCGCGGTGTTGCTCCAGGGTTTTGCCGAGGAAGTGCGGGTCACTGCGTCTCCTGCTTAATTGGGGATGATTCCTACCATCCACAAGAATAGCTAAACTAATTGAACCCAGACGCCACAGGTTCAGTGGCTACCAGGAATTTAATCCTCACCAACACCCGCCAACACGATTGGTGGCGTTGGCATGCACCCAGCCCATCATTGCTCCCTTCACTTCTCAAGGACGTGGCCTCCAATTGGCAAGAATGGAAGCCAGTGCTGCGAGGTGCACTGGGACACTGAACCTTACAGGGCTGGCAGCAAAAAAACAGGAAATTATATTCCTATAATTTAAGTTATATTGTGGAGACAGATGGCTAGTTGTTTTCAGGAAGGTCGCTTCCCATATATAGTATTATTGTACTTATTCTATAGATTGGAGACTTTTGGCAGGACCATCCATGGAATGATTTGAACGCATCAATCTCAAGCCAAGGGGCGCATTCCCAATGAAAGAGCGCATCGAGTGGTCAGACTTGTCCGCCATGCGATACTTGAGCCACTCTGTAGTTCCCACACCCTGGAGGCGCGCAAGCTCCTGGTGCACGTGGTGGGAATCTGGCCTATTTCATATGCAAAGAAACTTGTGCAATGCAAGGGAAGGGAAGGCCTTGTGGGCACTGATTTGGGAGCCATGGATTGTGGGAATCCTGATGTATGTAGCACGTAGTCAGTCAGTGGTCTTGGTATACCTTGTGCTTTCATTAGATGAAAAACAAGTGGATGTGCATGGCGCTATTGTTGATTCCCCTGTTGGAGTGATGATCCAATTACCGCCTTATTGAATCCATTGCCAATGACCCCCCCAAGCAGCCCCATGAGCATCCTTGGCCGAGAGGATATGAAATCCACCAGGCCCTGTGGCCACATACTTTCCGCCAGGAATGATACATGTCATAGTCGACACATCCGATCTTGGGAAGGTGGCGCGATCAAAGTTCTGGTCCTAAGCAGCAGTAGGCAAGCCCACGGGGGACAGTACTTGGAACAATAAGTTTGGTCGGTTTTGATTTGCAATTCTCCGAAACACCCCGCACTAGCAAACTAAGAACAACTCAAGTGGATCCGAATCCAAAGCCAAGTAGTTTAATCTGATCATTTGGTGATCTCCATTTGCTTTCTTGGAGGGAAAGAAACATTCATTGTCGGCCCGTCTTGGTCATTCAAACTCCACTGAAATCCAACAAAGAGTCAACTTGTATGACTGCCAATTGCTTCATGGCATCAAACCCTTTGTTGATGGCAAGGTCCTCCACAGCCACAGCCAGAATGCTAAGCTCCCTATCGCTGCATCCAACCGCCAGCTGTTTGAGTTCTGCAACACGCTTCTGAAGCTTCACCTGGGGTTCCGTTTGGAAACCGCAGGACTACCTGGTGTAGGCCCCTGTTGAAAAAAAATCATGAGGGGTTTGGACCATTGGATTTAACAAGTACCTGGCCTTCCCATAGACCTCGCATTGTTGGGCGAATCCCTGTTCCCACTTCTTCTCCTTGGTGATGTCCCTCTTAGATTTCCTTGAAAGAGAGCCACTGGTCACCGGGTTTTGGGTTGACTCCAAACAGGCGCTCAGGGGAACATTGCACCGCTGGAAACGGTTGACATCCAAGGTTAGAGCAGCAGCCGAACACTGGACTTCATCCTCAAGGTGGCAAAGAATCCAGGCCCGTCGCCTCTGCTGCGGTAGTCCGAAGTCCGCAGTGTTGTGCATCCCTGCGGCCACCGAGTACCCCAACCTGTTCAAGCGTTTCTGGATGATGGAATACCTGAGCTTGCATGGAAGATTGCCCGGGTTGTAGCATGTTGAGACAAAGAAAGTCAAGCGTAAAAATTGTCAACTACATTTCAAGGAACGCAGTTTCACCACCTTCCACTTGCCTTTTGGAAAACAGACTGGCAACGTTCTCAAGGAGAATCATGTTGGGCTTGTGTTTCTTGACATAAGTCTCCAAGCCAAGAAAGCCCCGGCCAGACGAGCATTGTGAGTCCACTACGCTCCCTGGTGTCGTTGTCAAATTTGATAGGCTCACGCAAGGAAAACCGCCCACCAATAGATCTACCTGGAGGGGTGCGGTGTAAGCGTGATAAATCTGTGGGATTTGGGGCTTATTGGTGTCCCATCTTCAAAAACCCCACCCTTTTGACAAACTGCACCAGCAACTACAAAGCTTCCGTTCATTAATAGTGAGACTTCAACTCACGCCTTGGGGACTTTAGCAGCCTTACCATCATTCCATGTTGGTGCGAAGGCTTTCCCCATGTCCGACACATCCTGGAACACTGAAGTTCCAGGAAACCTGGACATCAAGTACTCCGACTTCGCTTCGTCGATTTCTACCATGAAGCAAAGCTGCACCTGGCGCAAGTTGGGCGGCTGGCGTGTGGAAGTGAATGCTGGTCCCTGGTACACCCAGAGGTTGGTGGACATGTAACACATGTCATGTTTTTTCATAGCGGAGCTTGGAATAGATAGAACATGATAGATGCTGATATGATAGGGATGCTTCGAATATGGAGAATCATGGCCGAACCTAGTTGGGCTTCATCTGGTTTCTATTCCTCTACCTCCCTAATGTTCCCCAAGTTGTCTTTGGCTCGGCTAGATGTTGATTAGTACAAAATCAACAATTTCCACAATCCGAATTGGAAGTTTGCCATTGGGATCAGCTGCTAAGTTGTTGTTGTTGATGTTGCATGATGGATACAACTTAATTGCAAAATAGCTAAAACATGGAAGACGGTAATGAATAAACCTTGGTCAGGGAGTCGTTTTTGACCACACATGGTCACCCACATGTTTTGCGCACGAAAACCGACACTACAAGCACAGCCTCAAGGAGGGCATCAGAGGGTGTGGAACAAGCTGCATTCCATTCAGCCTTCAATGCATCCAATACCATCTCTAGTACTGCCCATCCAGTAAACATGCTCCCAACTTTGAGGACATCGATCTGGCTAAAGGTGTGCACCAGCTTTCTCCGAATGCATTCGAACTCCGGATTGTGGACAAAATCGGCGACAAAGCTATCCACCTAAAGTGGCAAACGATTTCCACCAAGGGTTGCCTTCCTGCATTTGAATTTGAAGTAGAGGTAAAAAATCAATGTTCTCCAGGACCCCCAAAGATTCCTAAAGTTTGCAGTCCCACAACGGCCTTTCAACTTAACAAATCATCCAAATCGACCTCTCCCTGTTACAAATAGGGATATATCCACAAAACTTTGGATCTTGGAATAATGGTGGAATTTGACATTGACCATCACTTAAACCAAGATACCCCTGGTTCTCCTGGAATGCGAAAGAGCTTTCCATACTTGGATGTCTGGACATCAGCCGCCGCTTCCTCCTCCGATGAAGCCAGAAGCAAGGATGGTGAACTGCGGTCGCCAGGATCTTGACCTGGCTGGGCAGTGACAGTGGTATTAAAACAAACTCCTCTCTTAGAGACCACTACTTTCGACACTTCAATTGCTACCGACCCCATGCCGTGGAAGAAATCCTTTGTGTTTCTTCCCCTGCAAATTCCCACGTGGTTGTGCATCCCTGACCCCTGATGACTCCTGCCTTCACAATCCGAACTGAAAAGAATCTCTTCTTGGAGGGAATCCGCATGTTCCTCCTCTTTTGAGCTCCTGGCAAGCCGGCTGGTTGCAATTTCTGGATGGGTTGGTAATGACGCATCGGTTTGAATACTATGTTCCTCCAATTTCAACAAGAAAAGAATTGTCTTGCTTGCTACCCACAAATTGTTGATGCAACGAAGTCAAGCAAAGTACATTCATGAGGATTGGAAAGGACATGGACAGGGAGCATTCTGCTTTCTCCTAGGGCCCCAAAAGATTTACATCGGTTACTCGTGCTTGACTGCTCGACTCTCATTTCTTGATGATTTTTTGGGAAAGGAAGCAAACATGCATGGCATGACATCGATTGTAGAGTAAAAGACAGTCAGGCACTCCTTTTTGCGAGCATCCCCCAAAACACTCAATCTGCCAGTGCGATGGGTAGATTCACTGGCCCATCAGAATCGGAGCTGTCACTATCCACATGGTCACCCGCCAGCGTGAGATCAAAGTGTTTCACACGCCGTGGCTGTTGCCATCTTCCCGGCTCATGGCGTTCCGAGCGCATGTCCTGAGACCACCTATGGCCCAAAAAATGTGTAGGAGGCAGGTCTGGGTTTTCGAGGCAATGTGCCTCGACTCCAACCAAGCAAGTACCGGGCACCCTCCTCCGATACTTCACCGCTTCGTACACAGATTGGGACCCGTTTCTGCAGATTTTTTTTGGACTTGTTCACCGATAGTTCTTCTGTTGGCAATGCCTCCTGGGGGATGATGTCCACACCTGATTTGATGAGCCATCGAAGCTGGTACAGCCACCAATGCACGTGTGACCTCGGTGTCTGACAGCCACTTTTTGGTCACCAAAAAAACATCATCAGCGTGAGGTTCCCATCGCCCCCCATACTCCTCCAACTCCTGCACATTGTCCAGAACATCAGACCCGAGGTCTCTCCGACAACAAAATCTCATGTAGTGGACGTTTCTCAGGCCTTTGAAGGAGAGTCCAAGCTGGGCCACAAATTTTTTCCAGGCAGTCACCTCATCGAGCTTCGAAACCGAAGCTTCAGAACCGCGAATGCGCCCTGACCTCTCTGCTGGCTGCCCATTGTCAATGCATTGTTCTAAAACATTGATCATTTGGGATGCCGATTGACATGTTTTGCCCATCAGCAGCCGGGCTACTTGTCCGAAGACTTGATCGACATCATCATGGCTATGAGCCGTTCTCAAGAACCCCAACACTGTGTATCGGAATACTCCCAGGACTTGTAGCAGCAGCATAAACCCCAGAACGTAGCGGTTCTTCCCTTCTCGAGGGCAGTTGTCTTGCTGGAGATGCAGTGTCATTGCCAACGAAGCGCCGTGATCAAAAAGATGCTGGAGGGAAAGGCACAGGGCTTCTAGCTGTGTTTCGGAATCTTTCTTCAAATCTTCGTCTGACAAATATAGATATAGCCGGAAGCCATGTATCCATGATGCCAACAGGTGGGTCGCAGGTCTGTATAACTTGGTTGCTGCTTTACTCAGCTTGGAGTAACCCCACTTTGGAAGACGCAGTTTTGCCTGGTCCATGCCGTCCTGTATTACAGTGACCACAGAAGAGGCTAGATCCGATCCAGACAATCGCTTGCTGAAGTGAAGGGCTTGTTGGAAATAGTTGCGGCTCAATGCCCTCATATTCCAATAAAACTGTCTATCTGCCCATTGTTGGAGCAAGTGTTGGCTGTAAATTCGAACGTTCATTGCCCTTGCACTTTTTTGTAGTCGCGGTCCGAATGCGCTTGCGAAGCCGGTGACATGTGTCACATTGACCAAAGTCCCCTTTGTCTCTGAACTTCAAGTGTGATGAAAAAACTCTCTTCATCACTCTCCGGAAAGTGCTGAATGCAGCAGGGTCCAAACCAGAAGCCTCACAAAAAGCCTGGTACTGCCAAAAGAGGTCCATCGGCCTTTGCCATTCTAGGTATCGCCGTGGCCCCTCAAAAGCACCAGGTCCACCATGGGCAACCTTGGCACTGTGTGGTTTACAAGATGCAGGACACACTATGTTGATGTCAACAACCAAATATGATGATACTGGATTGGAATTGGCCTAGACCCTACAAGATGGTAAAAGGGTTATCTAAAGTCCAATCACAAGGGACGGGGTTCATGTCATAGTTCCGCTCCAAGCAAGCCAAGAAATTCTGAACATACCTTTCTTGGAAATCAGGGTCTTTGGACATGCGAGATTCAGACAGGTTCTCGTCCTGTCGTCCAGGCATCATAAATTTGATCGGAAGAATCTCCGCGCAACTGATCCAAAGGAGCCAAAAGAAGGACATGATCGATGGCCACTTCTTGTTCTCAGCACACCGAACCATTGACACCCCAAGAGAAGGGTGCTGTGGTTCACGAAGGCGCCCTGAGTGCATGGTGAATCCTTTGTTTCCAGCGCGCATGTTTTGCAGTGCACTAGAGCCGATGGCATAAAGTCTCATGTGGGCATATCTGCACACAGGGCGCTGGAGGAACGTCAGCTGGTGGTTTGCAGTCCGTTGATCTGAGTATCTACGAGCCTTTTTTTTGCGGTGGCTGTGAACACTCTTTCTCCGACTCAGTTTCCAGCAGTAGCTCCCCATCGCTGCAAGTCGGAGTGGCCACCAGATTCTCTTGATCAGAATCACTTTGAAGCAAAATATCACCCTCCCCTTCCGAGTCTGTGGCAATGAGCACATTGGAAATAGGGACAACCCCGGCTTCAAAGCTTGTGGCAGGTTCAACGTCCACATGGTACCACGTCTTCAATAAAGCTTCCTGGCAATGTGGCGCAAACCCTATAGGGAACCCCAATACAGCCAGAACACAGTAGGCCACACCAGACTGAGATTGCTTGTTCTTGGAAAACATATTATTTAAACCTAACAAAACTTTTGAAGGACTCACTAAGTGTACGACAATAAATACAGCGTTCTTTTCCATTCCAGTCCTTGTGGTCTGCATCTAAAGCAGAGAATCGATTCCGCTCTTGCTGAACCTCTGCAGCTGCGTCGGCAAATTGTTGGAAACACTTCACCTGTGTGCATGTGCACTTTCGCGACAAGAGTGTGCAAATTGCCACTCTGGACGGCATTGCTCGCACAGCAATGGTTGACGGATGACATGCAGTGATGCCCGCTATTTCATCAGTTCCTAAGAAAAAATAAAGGATGTCATTCATAATGTTTGTCGTCCAGTAGTGCTAACTGCTGCCACCCAGTAGTGCTAACTGCTGCCACCCAAGCTACCGTGACCGTGTTTGCTTTATGTCTCTGACGTGCTCACCTTTTCTTATAATATATTATGTTTTGCGCTGGCTGCTTTTGAACCAGGCTCAGGCCACAAATAAGCCTTGCAATCTTTACCAGAATGCTT